TTTTTTTTTTTTTTTTTTGGTATATTTGGCTTTTCAGTCTTAGTTTTTCACTTTTTTTTACTTCCACTGTTAGTACAGTCAAAATGTAGCTTTAGCTAGAGTTTGACACTTTGTGAAGTAATTAACTTCCGTTTTTTTTTTTTTTTGCTTTCACTACTCTCTTCTTTTCTTTTTGTTAGAATTTAGCATGGAATTTTTAAGGAATAAGGAATAAGAGATAAGGAATTTTTTTAGCTTTAGTAAGGAATTTTAAGGAATTTTTTTTCAAGGAATAAGGAATTTTTTTAGCTTTTGTCAATCGTTCTTTTTTCTTTAGTCCTGCTCTCCACAACTGTACCGAAACAAACAGACAGGTTATCTTCAACTAAAGCATATTTCATGCATTCAAAGATCCCTTAGTCCCATCTGTCATAGAGTCACTAAAAGATGGTTAAAAATAAGTCACTATTTTAACTTTTAAACATGTAGAAAAATGTTGGGATTTTCATATAGTTTCACAAAAGTTTATATGTGACAGATGAATGACTTCCTTGGTTTGTCAGATAGGCAAAATGTGAGTTCATAAAAATGCTTGTTTCTAAGCCATTTTTTATACGGATATTGCTAAGCAAAAATTACCTCTTGCTGGTGGTGGTACTAATGGGAAATAAATTTCAGGGTACATCCCATTTCCCAGTCCGAAAATTACTGGCAGAAACACGGAGAAAAAATGCACAGAGCAGTTATGGTGATGGAAGGAGGAGGGATGATGGCAATGCTACGCAGATTAGGGCGGTGCTTAGATGCATCGGCTTGCTCTCAGGCCAGTCGAGTATCGGCCACCGGCATCAATCGTCAGTCGTACTCGTCGTTGTGCGCTCATTCGGCTGCTCAGCCGATCGTCGGCTCATATTCATCACCGCTGCTGCTGAACAATTCGATTGTCAGGTTGACATCCCTGCGTCGAAAGTGTTTTAGCCAGTTGGTTTATCGGCAATCCACATACAATTCCCATTTTTGTGGAAATAGAAATTTTCGGACTTCGGAAACTTGGAATCGTCAAAAAAAACCTCTAACGATGGCTCCGTTGGTTCTTTCATCACCGAAAAATATTGGTCCTAGCGATGTGCAGCTATCCAAACAATTGATCTACTGTAATGGTTCATTGTTGGATGCTGTACAGCAGTCTAAAATGTTTAACGACTGCAAGCATTTTGTTGATATGCCACTAAAAAGAGATCCTTGTAAGTGCTACAAAAAGTTCTTAATATCTGGCAAAAACATACATTCAGCAAGAAAAAAAAAATCAGGAAATGTTTTTTGCCTGTTCTACAGCTTATTTTAATGTTTATTCAGTGGGCACAAGAATACTGTAAAAAATGGACAAATTCAAAAGCTTGAACTGAAAATTTTTAGACGAAATGATAGGTTGTTGGTACGGTATTGATGAGCTGCCAACATCGTAGTCTTTTATAACTAAAAGTTTTATGACATTGTTAGGAATTTGCTGAATTTACTCTTAATTCTTTTTGATTGCAGTTTTTTTTTTGTAGCATCGACGTTGGAAGAATGGCAAAATCTGGTGAATAGTGGACGATTGGACGACCTGTCGTTGAAAATGTTCATTGAGAATCATTTTGATGAACCTGGTGGAGAATTAGACGAATTTCTACCAATTGACTTTAATCCGAATTACAGTTTTGAGCAAATTCGTTGCCCACTCTACAGATGTTGGGCACAGCAACTCCACCAGAAGTGGCCGCAACTGTGTCGAAAGGTACTAGAGTTTTATCAAGCTTTCGTTTGGTAAATTTCTGAATCTAACATAGTAGATGGTTCATTTATAAACGGTAAAAAGAAATGAGTGAAACAAAACGTTTACCGCTCTGAACAATAAAAAATGAGAGAGCTGATGTCCTCTGTGATCGTTATGATGTGCCTCTAGTACGGTAAAGCGCAGAATTTGGATGAAGGTAATGTTAATGAGTATATGTCGTTGTTATTTTGAATGTGTGCATTGTTGTTCCTGGAGTAACTGAAGATGGCGGACGAGGATGGCGAAGCTTACATTTTTTTCGTGGATGTGTAGAGTTAGAGGTGCATCGGGGAATCCGGTGCTAACCTAGAAGTAACTAGAGTGTTTTCTAGAGACTTGTTTGTGAACCCCTTTCGCTTTTTAACTCATTTCCAGTCGTATTTTTCACACCTGGTCATTTGCTCAAAAAATTAGCCTTCTTTTTTTTCCTAGTTCTTTTTTGAAAATTTAGAAATCCTGTATGTAGTCGACTGAAATTTTTAAAGAATTGGGTTTTTTGGAAGTTTGAACGTTTGTTTTTTCAAACTAAGTCTATATATATACCGTAGATAGTTACTCTTGGAATTCTGTTCTCTAATCTTCATTTTTTGCTGTTCTAGCACTTTTTTTGGAGATGACTATCTTCTTTCACGGATTTAATTAGAATTCTCTGTCGTATGGTCGGCACAGCGTTTTGGGGAATTGCATAATTTTCGATAGTTATCACTTTTTGGATTAACGTTCTACCCTCGAAATTTACTGAAAACATTGCTTAGCATCGTATGGAGGCCAATTTAAAAAGAAAATTATAATCGAAAAGTTTCAAGAAACGGTTAAACCGTATTTTGGAAGAACTTTGAGTTTTCGTTACATTTATACTCGATCCTTGACAGCCCAAGGAGAGAAACACGTCAAAAATCTTCTTAAAAGTGACACTTATTGCACGGCGTTATTGTAAAGGTAAGACTGCTTGCAGATTAGTACGTAGTTTAGTACTTCAAAGCTCTTTCCTTCCTTCATCTGTTTCTTTTAGGTTTCTCATTCTTATAATATTATTTATTTATTTGACATTTTGTTTTCAAAATCTTTCAATATTTTTTATTCATTATACTGAGGAGAGGGAACGATTATAAAAAATGGGCAGACGGTTTTGGTCCCATCACGCGTACGGTCCTGTTTAGGGAAAAAATTTTAACAAAATGAATTTTCTTCCAGGTTATTGTCGTCTTCGCTTCAGATACACAAGCTTTATAATTTTTGGTTTTACCAATTTTTTTTGTTGTTGTCTTAAGTTGTCTTGTTTTATTTGTCTTTGTCTTTTTATTATTAGGACGTGAAAGCTTTGTCGTAGTGAATGTCTTATAGAGATCTTTTCTGGACTGTTTGCTTGTTTTAGGCAACTGAAACAGCGTTGGATACGGAAATGGAATGACGGTGAGAAAGTGAACTACGAACTTAGATCAAATATATATGTGTTCATCAATACGCACGATACCAATGTCATTCGTCCTCTCACCTAATAAGCCCCGGCAACCTGTACACAACCAAAATCCAGCAGTCGAAACAAGCTACTGTTATCGAAAGAAACCAGATGCTTGCTATGGATTTTTAGGGGGGAACTAGGCTTAGTGGAGATTAATGGGCTCTCTAAGATAGCTTCAGATTGAAAGGGTTTTGGAACATTTTTGCTGCTGTGGGCTTTCTCGGTCTTTTATTTGGGTTCATTCCGTGTGGCTTTCATTAGTGGGTGCTTAGAGTTCGATGGAGTTTTCTTTTGGACCAGCTGTTCATCTTCACTTCCTCACTGTCTTCATGGCTTTCGGAAGTGTTGAGGTTAATGGCGCTGTGTCTGAGTAAACGATGAGTGTTTTTGAAGTATCGCTCAAGGTGTATAGAAGTTAATGTAGCATACGTTTGATGCTTTCAGCTCAAAAAACTGAAAAACTGTGTTTATTGTTTGAGGGCGAACGTCATAGTAAATAAAGGATGCACCAAAAGTGCGAACAACTGAAGGAAGAAAAACTGAAAAAACGAAGTAAAAAACGAAAGGCAAAAAGGAAAAAATAGAAGAAAAAATATGGAAACTGTACTAAAAAAAAGTTAAGGAATTTTAAGACCGGATAGAACTTAAAGCTTGAAGTTATCCTCTTTTAGGTTTCCGACAGAGTCATCGCTGAACCACACCGTTTTTCACTGATTGCATTGCCTAAACCATTTGTGGTACCTGGTGGACGTTTCCGTGAAATGTATTACTGGGATAGCTTTTTCACAATGAAAGGTCTTCTCGCTTCTGGTATGTATCAGACTGTACGCGGGATGATCGAAAATATGGGCCATCTTGTCGACGAGTAAGTTTTTTTACTTATTTAGAAAGAGCCAGTAGCGTGTTGGATTGCATTATTTTTGGTGTTATTTGGACATGCGTTTTGCAGTCATAAGTTTACATAGTGTTATGACTTGATTGTTGTAGATTTGGGTACATTCCAAACGGAAATCGGGTGTACTACTTGAACAGATCACAGCCACCACTTTTGACTTGGTGTCTGTTCGCATATTATCAAGCCACAGGCGACAAAGATTTTGTTCTGGCTGGCATTAAATGGGTTGAAAAGGAGTTGCAGTTCTTTCAGTCTAAAAAGTTAGTATGCGAATGACTTAAATCTTTTTACAGTAAACTGTGATGTTCTGCCGCATTTTTTTTTACAACTATAACCATATGTTACTTTTAGGTCAATACAACTAACAGGTGTTCCTTCAATGCTCTACAGATATTATGTTGTGGCTGAAGGACCAAGACCTGAAAGTTATCGCGAAGACGTTGAAAGTGCTATGCACATCGAAGACTGTAAGCTTTTAAAGTGTGGTAGTGTAGATTTAAATTACTGCAATGGTAAACGGAGTGACTGTCTAATGGTTACTTTTTTGCTGTTTAGTGGTTGAAAAAAGACGACTTTGGGGCGATATTGCTGCAGCTGCAGAAAGTGGACGTGACTTCAGTTCTCGTTGGTTTTCCAATGAAGGGCCAGCGGCTGGCAAAATGGGTTCTACCAGGACAAGCTCAATCTTACCGGTTGATCTCAATGCAATAATTTGTGGCAACTGGGAAATTATGGCAAAACTCTACGACGTAATTGAGGATTCAGCTAGCTCCGATCTTTGTCATCGAAACTTTGAAGCAATGAAGAGTGCCATTCATCAAGTTTTTTGGAATGAAGATCGTGGCTGCTGGTTTGATTATGACATCTCAACCGGACGTCATGTCGAAGTCTACCAGGATACAAATTTCTTCCCACTGTTTACTGGATGCACTCATGACGGTAATATCTTTGCTAAAAGAGTTTTTATAGCCTATTTATTTGTTCATTCTTCTTTAATGGATTCAGTGTAGAAAGGGTTTTGATGCTTATTTTCTGCAGAAAGTTTTTCTATCTTGTAATTCTAGGTTTCGATCCCACCACCGTCGTAAATTATATGGAGCACATTGGCGCGCTTGGATTCCCTGGTGGTCTGCCAAGTTCCCTTATAACTTCTGGACAGCAGTGGGACTTTCCGAACGCCTGGGCTCCAACCACATGGGTAGTTATTCAAGGTTTAAGAGCGCATGGAAAGGATGAACTTGCTTTCCAAATTGCTGACAAGTGGATTCGCAAGAACTACAACATGTGGGTCAGCTCTGGTGGACGCATGTACGAAAAGGTACGTCCAATTTCCCGAGTTTTTATGAGGTAGAAAGTAAAGAGCAGTAGCTGGAAACTTTTGTGCTTCTAGTGATACTCAATATATTTAACAGCCCTTCCTTTTCAGTACAATGTTGTATCGGCATGTGTTAATGCTCTCGGTGGCGGTGGTGAATATGATGTGCAGGAAGGCTTTGGTTGGACAAATGGTGTTATTTTGGATTTGTTATTAACATATGGAGCGCAACTGAGTTATCGCCCTGAAGATATGTACACAGACTGCAAGTGCTGTCATCCGGCTCTACCGGAGATTCCGTGTAAACTTCAATAAAACTGGATGTTGACTTTAGGTTTCATTTGTAATTATAGAAAATGTGAGGATCTTCGCAATTTGGTGTAAAACGTAGTGAAATTATCTGTGCATACAAGTAATTTGTTATATACTAGACGAGGAAAATTTTTGGACTTTCGCTCATTTGTTTATTATTGCTAGGCACTAACGCATACCAGCGCTTTACGGTGTAATTTTTAAATGTTTTACGAACCCCTAGGATTTCGTATGGTTTCATATTTTAGTTCGTCTTGAGCTTCTACTGAAAGTCTTACGGGTTTTTCACTTTTTTTTCATGAATAAGTACACAGGTGTAATTTGTTTTCATCTAAAGAAGCCATTTCTGAACTGGAAATATTTTTTTTCTTTGTTTATTGGTGATAATTGTTGTTGATTACTTGTGAGATGTTATTTATATTTAGTAGTAAATAAGGTTGAGAAAAAAACACTAAATCTTTGCAGGTAGATTTTTGGTCGTTGAAGCGAATGAACGGCATTTTTTTTGTTCCAATTTTTGTTGTTGTTTTCTTTTCTTTTTTTTCATTTTTGCCTTTTTGCGTATAATAATTTGTGTTCTTGATGTCCCGTGCTTTTTTTTGTTCTACACTTTGCCTTTTTTGTGTCGCAAGAATTCGATGTTTATAGGAGGTTGTTTTTTTTTTCAAATTTTTATTTAGGTTTTATGGCAGTTTAATTTCTTTGGGGTTTTTGGTGGTTGGGTTTTTTCTGTTAATAAATCACTGTGTGTAATTTGTGTAATATTAAATTAAGTAGGTGTTAATTGATCTGTATATATATGTTAAAATTTGCTATATAAATATATTGATAGTATCTGTGCATTTGCATTAGAAAGGCATCGAGACTGGTACGTGTTGGTGGTTGATAATATACTGGAAACGACGATCTGTGCGATACTGTTGGAGTTTGACAGGCGTTACATTGTGGGGTGGGGGTACAGTAAGCGTCCATTGTAAGGAGCCAATGATTTCCGGCTGTAAAGTTTTGTGCAGATGACCTAAATGAAACGAAAACGTTGGCCTCATTAAGAAGAAAACGTTATCATCATATGTAATGGATATTTTTTTTTTGATGGGTGAGGGGGGAGAGGGGGTTGGGTGGTGGGTGGGGGACTCAGATGGCAGTAGAATAGGAGTTTGACTACCATTAAGCCAGAAATTCAAAAGAGGGACTTCAAATTACGGTAATTCAAGGAGGGTTGACTAAATTAAACAAAGATTTTTTTGTTGTTAAAGTAGCCACCAATGTATCCAGTATCCGAGGTTTTTTGGTGGATTAAATTTGCTTAGCAAATCTTGTTATGTCATTTTAGAAATTCCCGGAAAGCGGTCTCGGTTGCCGTCTAATAAGTGTGTCATAAATAAAATTAGATTTTGCTGTGGTCACCTACTTTAGTTACTGTTCATTCAATCAAAGCAATAAGAATTCCAACTATGAACTTACAGTCTTAATATTCCACTCAAGTGACTGTGTGCTTTAGTAAGCATGAGAACTCGGTTTTTATAGTCTTATTATTTGCACTTCAGGGAAGGTTGGTCGACGGCGACGGTTTGCTGTTGTTCTTGACACCGATCGTTAGCCATTGAACAAAAAGTGTGATGAAATATTACAAACAGTATAATTTGAAGAGGAGCTTAAAAATTTTTTCCAGTCTTTTTTCTCTCTTTTGCTGCTATAACATCCGGAAAAGAAGGAAGTCTAAGGACTGAATTTTCCTCTGTTCCAGTAGATATTTTCTGGCGGGTTAGTATTAATTGGGTCTATGAAATAACAACTAAATACAAATTAGTTTTTTATTGTTCCGATAAAGTTTCTATGGCAAATGGCAAACAAAAAAAGCGGAAAGAAAAGTAGATTATACAGGAAGATACAGAAAAGACAGATAATTTAAAAAGTTGATGTAGAAAAAATGGTCAATATTGAATTCCCTCATTTTTTCAACTGAAAGTGTTATGAAGAATACCATTGAAATAAACGTTTGCCAATTGGATACTAATGGACAATGGTTTGTTGGAATTTGACTAATCCAACAAAGAGCTTCCGTGCTGCAGACATCTTTAAGTTTTTGGTAGGACAGAGGAGGTAAGGAGAGGTGGATCACACTTATCACTGCGCCTTTCCCAACTTGAACAGCGCGAATTTTCAAGAATTAACATCTGCGTCTGCGAACAGAACAGCATTTGAGTGTACAAGTTTTGGTGGGATTACTGAAAAAGCGGAATTCAAACTGGTGAATTGTGAAATAAAGAAGAAAAATACTTCTTTTTTACATCAGCGAACTGTCCGCTATGTAATTGTTTTTTCCAAGTCAAAGAAGCAGGGTTCGTTTGGCAGCGACTTGTTAAGAATGATTTTACGTGTGACATCAAAATATGAGACCAACTCAATCTGCTAGATGAAGGTTTAACAATAACAGAATTAACGTACATTCTTTGACTGAAAACATCAGAAAAAGAAAAATTTATTATCATACAATATCATCTATTTTGACATCACAAAGGTTTATTTATGATTGCTCTTTTCTATAGTTCTTTCTGTACTATTAGATTTTTCTTCTGCTTGCTTTTCTGCTTAATAAGTGCTTTATTTGTTCCTTGCTTTAAAGCGTCCTGCGATGGTTACATTACGCTTTTTTTTTGCTTTCTGCTCAATTACATTACAAATAAAGTAGAAAGGGAACCATGGGACGGTTCAAATTGTTAATTCACTTGATTTTCTGATATATACTGCAAAAAATATAGTTTGGATTTGCTAAATTAGCTGAGTAATTTAGGCGATAATTAATTGGAGACAAACAGTTTTTAGTTTTTAGACACCTGTATAAGGCTATTTTGACAGGGCTTTCAGCTTTTTAATGGAAGTACTGCAATAAACTAATAGTTGCATTACTGTTGTTGTTGGTAGTATTGTTACTACACAAAATAGCTTTTATTCACCTATTTTTATAACATTAGTGGAAAATTGTAATGAATATTTTATTGTCTGGAAACATGAGAATTAATGCGGTTTGCTGTAAAAGAATCAACCAAAAAAATTACGCTTATCGTAGTGGGTACAGCAGAAATAATTCGTTTAATGATACAGTTGCTGAGACAATTAACAATTTGTCTACACTTTATTTTCCTTCTGTTTTCTCGCAAATGATAATTAATTTTATTCCTTTGTTTGTTTGTTTTATTATATTGATACAAGTTGGTAAAATGATAATACATTTTCAAGTTTTTCATTACACAAAATTGTTTACAGGTTTACGGGATTCTCAAATAAAATTTAAACAAAATATTTTATGGATGCATACTGCTTTGTTTCCGGGCTTTATTTACAACAGTTCAGCCTGTTTAAAGTTATTTTGATAGGCATGCATGTGAAAAAATGCTTTGTAATCAACACGTTATGTAAATACTACTACAATATTAACGAGTATACACAATTTATCGGTAAACCATCATTATAAAATTTGTCATTTTAAAAGAATTAAAAAAAAAAATGCAATAAACAGTTTGTTTCTTTTTTTTCCTAAACTAAATTACAGTGTAAAAATTAGTCGCTTCGGATGTATTGTATACTTAATTTTAACAACTATTGCTCAGCTGAAATATGTGAAATTTTAGTGCATAACATTTACTATAAGAACTAAAAACTATTTAGTGTAAGCCCTAGCTTGGAGAGCTGCACAAGCATATTTGCCGGTTGATTTGTCGGTTACACGGTACTCCAACTGGTAGGGTGCATCGTTTTTCAACAGGTTCACAATCTGCTTATGTACTGTAAAGTCAAGGGTTACTTGGACTGTCTGTTTTCCCGTTGGAACCGGACAGTTTACACCATTTGTACATGCCGCCAAGTTTGAGCTAAAATTTACCAAATCTGAGATAGATTAGCTGAAATATCGATGATGGTTGCTGAAAGAACACTCATTAGTGTGTGAAGCTCCATACTTTTTTTTGTTACCAGAACTTTGTTGTTATATCTGTGTACATTCTTGCCATTTTTGATCATTTTCAACTGAAGTCAAGTTTACACTTTTGGAAAAAGATAAAAATATTTTCAATCACTGCAGTTCAGAAAAAATGTGCTTTTTTTTGATCGAAGAAATGAAGTTTTCTTACGTTGTTCCGAAGGTTGGTACTTCAGTCCATTTGCAGCCAAGCCATCCTCCGTATTGCCAGATCGAGATATCAATGAATAACTGATCAGACTCCGTAAATTCTTTTACAGTGTTGTCGATATCGGCTGCCACGTAAACGGGTTGGTCCAATTTAATAGGGTATACGTAGTTACCTGATTATATTAAACCAATCAAATGAACAGTTGCGCGTTGTTAGGCAGTTATTTGAAAGTACATTTCGGAATATATCGTCGAAAAGTGTGAAATGTGTGTTTAGCAAATCTTCTAAGCTTGTATATTCTCATTTTTTAAAGTTTATTGTGCTTTGCTTATATTATCTAGCAGAAGAACAAAGGAAGTACCATTTTCATCAAGTGGTGTCACGCCATACAGTTTAACAGTTCCATCACCACAATCCCACCAATGCAGTGCAGTTTCTGTCCCGTTAGGAAAATCACATCCAACTGCGATCTGTATCAACAGAGCAAATGCTAAATATCTGTACATTTCTATCCCAATTGGCTTTTGTAACCTCTAAAAACAACAGTTTTTAATAAGGAGGGCATCTGATTAATTCTGAATCGTTTTTCTTAATTTGACAATGTTATTTAAAGTTGTGCAGAATGCAACTTGATAAATGTTTATTTAGGCTCAAACAAAAGTGCTGAATTGTAGGAGGTTCAAAAGTGAATTTTTGAATATTCTTGAGTTTTTGGACAAGCTAGATAATTTATAGCGTACAAGAAAACTATAATGAAATAATTTTTGGCACTGAGTATTAGAGGTTAAAGAAAGAAAATTTGATTGAAAATTGAACTGAAGTTGGGTAGACAATAAAAGTTTTTGAACAGCACATAGTAATGGAATGTACTGAAGTATAGTTTCGATAAAAAATAAGGAAATGCTTCACAGAATGGGTCTAGAAATGTTTAAATATATGATTTGAAAGCGGATCTTTCCTGAATGGAGAAGAAAATGACATACTGATAAACCTTTAAAAAATATCGGCAACAATAATGGAGCTTGTGGTCGTTTAATGTTATGTAAATAAACTAGTAAATTTCGAGACTTTTATTTATTACTGCAAGAATGAGACCGTTTCTTTTTAAAGTGCTGTCATTTTGCAAGCAGCTCTCTGCATTTTTACACTCTTCTTTTTTATCAACCACAAGTCTATTTCGCTCGAATTTGTAGGTTATCATAAAGTTAAGGTTAATAAATATTGCACTTTTTCTGTGTTTGTTACAACCGATCTTTGAAACAACTGACAAGCATGAAGAAAAAAAAAGTGATTAAGAAGGTGGAATTTGCTGACAATAGTTAATTGTATATCAAAGCTTGGGAAAAATCTGGTATGTTTATGTCTGGTTTGCAGCCATAGATTTTTTTTTGTTAACCTGAGAATTTGCTGTTGCTATTTTTTTTTTTTTTTTTGACGAGTTAGGGTTTAATAAAACTGATATTGCAGCACAATTTTAGAGCCATAAATAAAAAATGTTTGTTCTTAAAAATCTGAAAAAGAATTTTATTTTTATGCGGTAAAGATGTGTCCAACTTTTTTCAAAAGGTTTTAAACGTAAGCTAATGAATCAAAGGAGTTGAGCACGTGAGCAAGTCGTTTTTAAGTCTTGCAGAAGCAGCGTTTTAAAAAAAAAAAATTTTTTTCTGCTTGTCTTTTCTTTGTATGTTTGATATATATACATGTATATTTACAGCGTTTATGCATAATTTTTTCAAGCGGTACATAATTGTCATACTTTTTGCATAATTTTGTGGGGTGATATTTTGAGTGTGAACTGTGACGTAGACGACATGGATGTTATTGATAAAGATAAAGTCCTTTGTCCCTAATGATTCATAGCTACAAATTTGTGTACTTATAGTACAGTAAGCAATTAACTTTTTGTTTTCAAATGGATCAGCTTATATTTTTATGTGTTTGGAATAAAAAAGCAATAAATTTCAAAAGAAAAAAAATTGATGATTTCTATAACGTTCAATTGCAGAATGAACTGTTTTTACCAGCTGCAAGTGGACCAAACGAGGAAAAACTGAGCTGAATCCCAGTTTTCTTCTCGTATTAACAAAAGTTTAATGAAACAAAGGCAAACAATAAAGACATTTTTTTAATTGTTCTAATTTGAAAACTGTTGTTTTTTTACTTTGTGTTTTCATGAATAAAGTTTGTTTTTATAGTTACAATAGTAAGAAAAGCTGAAATTTGTGACCCTTAAAAAACAAGATACGGTAAAAAAGACTATTTGACTGGGTAATAAACTGTTGTTGAAATCTGTAGTATTTTTAAAGCTGTTCACAAGTCACTTGAACAACCTAAATAATAAATTTTATTACCGTTTAGTAGATAAAAGGAAGCAGATATCAGTAGCTTAATTCGTCACCGACAAGAAGTGACTTGTCTTTCTTTGTTTCATCTTATTCTGAGCTCTCAAACATTTCTTCCTAATTTGAGAAAAAATTTCGAAACATAAAGAGAAGTTTTTGATTTTTTTTCTAACTTTTTCTTTTTATTTTTTATTTGCTTTCTTCATTTTTTACCATTCTTTTTTCTCGTCGGACTTCGCCCTTTCATATCTTCTCTGCTCTCGTTACCCCAACGTCTCCCTTCAAATGGAGAGCAGAAAGGTCAGACGTTCCGTTCAACCCATGCATTATTTTGGCAGCAGCTGTCAACAACTTTGCCGTATCGTTATAGGCTGATTTAGGAAAGGGTTTCTTATGACAGTTTCATTACAGTCCGCATAAAAATGACATTTTAGGGAACCTACTGACTGATACCAAACTGAAGGTTCAAAAAAATGCTGCATCATCTGTAAAATGTTGCTTTAAATTGCAGTTACTCATAGCCGGTTCAGAAACGCAAATCTGTCGTTTTTCTCCTACTGGTGACATAGAGTGTTAATATGACATACAGATGTATATTACATGACAGATAAACAGAAAATTTTTATTGCTTTATTTGGGTTTCATCTGACAAGTTCTCAACAAAAATACAGAGCAGTAATTTAGTTTTGTGTCATCTTCTGTACATTTTCAATGAACAATTTAAATTACAATTAACAATTAAATGACAGACTAACATTTCATAAAAATATAATTTATTGCCTTGATAATGAAGCACGATGAAATAGCCCTCGTTACGCTTTTGATAAACAGCTATTGAAACCACAAAAAAAAAGTGTTTTCAAATCTAATGGTACAATACATTAATTACTATGGTTTAGTGTAAGCTCTAGCTTGGAATGTAATGCAAGCTTTTCTGCCATTGGCCTTGTTTGTGACCCTGTATTCAAGTTGATAAGGAGCGTCGTTCGGCAGGATATTCGTAATGGTAGTGTAGTGGTCAAAGTCGATGTAGATGGTTTGTGTTTGCCTTCCGACTGGTACTGGGCAGGCAATTCCGCTTGAACACGCTGGCCGGTTGGCACTGCAACAACTCATGTTTTTAAAGAACCGTTGTCAGCCAGTTATTAAAATTTTCTGCGAAAATGATCCAAAAGAATACAGAAAATTCAACTAAGATGCAAATTTATGTTAGTAATTAAAAAACAGAGTATTCGATTTAAGTAGAAAGGCCATGCTCTTTAGAGAAAAGCTATATAACATACTTTAATTAGACATTAGAAATATAAAAACCGTTTTTTAAACTACAGTAACCAACAATTTCTTGAAATGTTATTAAACTTGTACATGAGAATAGCCTTAAATTTTAGTGATATTTATAACTTTTTAAGGTATGCGAATAATTCTCGTGCAATAATCAAGTAGATAGAGGGGAAAACTACATTTACGAAAGAAAAAACTTACAGCATTCCGAAAGTGGGTATCTCAATCCAATAACATGTTTCCCAACCTCCATACCGAAAAACTCTGACATCCAGTATCAAGTTTTCGCTATCCGTAAATTCATGATCTGTGTTCTCCAACTCAATAGCTACCAGTGTGCGCTTATAGAGATAGACCGGATACACATAGTTTCCTATACTTATGCACATGTTAACTTCATCATTCTTATTCACTAATTTTAAAAACAGATAAGAATTATTTGGTTCAAAAAATGTGTTTTATGAAAACCCAACTGTGTCGGCAAGAAGAATCAGTTGCAGTTAAATAAGACCATGCTCAGGATTACCATTTTCATCCAGTGGTGTTGCGCTGTAAAGGTTGACATGTCCATCGCCACAGTCCCACCAATGCATTGCAGTTTCTGTTCCATTTGGAAATTCACAGCATAATACCAGATTGAAGGTAGCGATTAACAAGAGTGCTGTGTATCCAGTCATTTTTCCCACTTAAACTGGAATACAGTTATCGTTTTCTTTGCTGTTTAGTTAATCAGCTTTGTAACATCGATGTCTGGTTAGAGCAAATAAATTTTAATTTTTTACGTCTTGTTCAAAAAAATGAGGATAGTTATTTTGAATATTGGTATAAAAAATTCTTCTATTTTTTCCCGTTTAAATAAATGTTTTTTTGAAAATCAAGGGTGCGTTTATTCTGAACCTTTAAGTATCTTCAAAGAAAAGCCACTAATAAGCACCTAATTATTTATTGAAACTGTAGTTTACTAACAAAATGCTGAAGCTAAGATGCTGGATTTTGCTAGACTTCTTTTTAAATTTACAACGAATAAGCGGTAATTAAACAAGAATTATTTCAATTATTTTGATACATACTAAATAAAAAAAAGGACGACTGCCAGTGACTGGTGACCCTATCTCGGAACTGCTTTTGTAACTACTAATGTTTGAACGCTTCACATGTAGTTCATCTATTTTCTGACCAGGACTGTCTTAAAAACCGTTTCATTTGTGTAATTCAGAATCCCAAAAGGTGCTACCTTATCATTTCTACGCGATAGACAAAAAATAACTGTAGTTAACTGTGCAAATTACACTGTACCACCATCAATGGAAAACCTGTGACTATTCATGAAGACCGTTACCAGATATTTAAACAAATCTGTAACAGCTGGTGATAATCCTCCGAAGTTTAAGTATGACCAGATCGGTTAAAAGAAAAACAAGATTCGTTCCTTTACTCAAAATTCCAAAATGCATCGAACTACTTATCAAAATTGGTGTGGCAAATTCACGTCACAAAATTTTATTTTATTTTAAATTTTGTTTTTGATCTAATTTGAATGTTTATCCTTCGTTCTAAAAACTAACAGAAATTGACAGCTATTTAACAGTTGTTTAACCAGTAAGTTTCATTTAAATGTTTCTAATAAAGTACTGTGAAAGCAGACGTGAAAGTAGCATACCTTTAAAAAGAGAGACACGTTCAGAAAAAAAAGAAGAATAGAGCTCCTAATAGTTTGGAAACTATAATGTTTTAGAGGAGAAGAAGAGTCTGAAATGAAAGAAGCTTGAAACTCAGTTTCAATATGACTCCAAGGAAAGCTACGCAGATTTTTTATAGGATTTTGGCTTAGCGATAAAGTGATGACCAGGTCGTTCTGTAGTCTATTCAAACCAATTTCTTACGTTTAAGTTTCTTTCGTTGTTCGCAGATTTCCTGTTGATTTACACATGCAATAAATCAAAAAAAAAAAAAAGAAAAAACTAAATGTAAAAATAAATAAACAAATAAGGACCATTTGCTACCACTTCTAGATACACTACGAAATTGTCATCCTGGTTCATCCAACAAAAAAAAAGAATGCTTTGTTGACCAATCACTGGGTTGATTTGTTCAATTATCACCCAAAAGTTCTCGGTCCAAAGTCGACAACGTTCTGCATTTCATGTTTTTAAAACAGTTTTTTTTTCTTTCCCATCGCAGACTCCACTCGTTGCTTTTTTGCAATGGTAAAATCTCAGCATCACAAAAACGCTCGAATGACGTACTTTTACTGCAGCTTTCAGCGAATGCTTTCAAAAAACCAAATCAGTGTACCTTCATTTATTCGGATGATAAGTAGAGGACGAAACTTTAGTGCTGACTTTTTTTTTTGTTTCAAAAGTAAGGTTATGCACTTCAGTCTAATGACGTACTTTACGCTTCTTTTCATTGCTTCGCCACACCATCCTCATATATCACTCCACCAATTTCAAGTGGTACCACTTTTTAAATGTAATAAGAAGTCCACTGTTGCAGCACACTACATTACAATTTTTAGAGATTAACTTCCAAACTACGAACCACGGGTTTGAAGGCAAGTACTGTCATTTCGCCAGCATTTAATTATTGCTACTAGGAAACGCATAAAAATCAGCAAAAGAAAACTCAATATTTGTAAAAAGCGCGGCTTGGAAACAAGGTAGTGTGAAGATAAGCAAAGCCCGTAACGACTTGTTTTTCGGTTCTGAAGCTTGCTAACGGTATATGAGGATTGTTGGTAGCAAATCCTTCGCTGTAACTGTATAATTTTTACCGACTGCACCTCTACGATACCAATAATTCACAGCAGCGATGAATTAGCGAACTCAACGACTGACTTAACCTAGGCTAGTTTTTTGTAAACAAAATAAATGTTTAATCATTTTATTTTTTAGACCTTTTCTAAAATTTATAGTTAAACAAAGCACTTTTGTAAAAAAATGTTTTTTTATAAGACGAAATCAGGGTCATGTAGGCAGCCGTAGCTCAACCGAAACATCGCTAAACACAAAGCGAAGGTACTATAAACTTGAAAAAAATTTTAATTTCTGCCAGTCCTTCAAGTTGCCTAGCGCTTCATTCGATAAAACGGCTTACAAGTGGCAAGTCGATCCCTCTGGTAAACAAGTAGTTCCTAAAAGTCTCCAAAATACTCTTCCGCCGTTGCCTGCTCTTCCTTGGTTAGCTGACTGTTCAAAACTCAAACACTAATTTTCTTCATTTACGACAATAAAGAGTATACACCCATTAACCTTTGTTTGTTTTCTAAAAAGTGATACGACTGTGTTTTAAGGCAAGTTCCAAGAAAGGTTTTATAATACAAACAGAGAACTTATTTGTGAAGAGGCTCCTGGAAGTACCACCCAAACTTAGAACAGAAACGAGAAGAGAGAGGTGAATAATAAAGTATAAGTTCAAAAATGTGTACATTTGAAGCAACGGGCTACAATTACGACGAGTGCATACAGATAACTAAAAAGCCAAAAAATGCACTAAATCAAAGTGAACAGTCTTAGAAGCACAAACCCCTCAAAAAAGTTCCAGAACCTTCTCCAGAAACTTAATCACCTAACTTTAACAAACGTAGATTTCATTCGTCGTCTTGAAAGGTGCTATAAGCTCCAGAATTCACTGCCTCTACCAATTCAGTCTGACCCTTAGAAAGCCTTTCTTTGATTAATGTGGCTATTGCTTTTTGTGTTCGCCTTTCAAGCTTCTGCAATCGCTCTGCAACGTCTCTTTTAAGGTCCCAATCCACCTAAAAAAAAATTGTGTGAAAGAACCGAGTGCACGTCCATGTTATGTCCCAAGAGTAAACACTCGATCAAACAAGAACGTCCTTTCACTGAGTACAACACAAAATTCTTAGAACAAACGCCATCAGGTTAACTAAAAACCGGAAATCTATATGTATGCGCCTAAAATCTCAGCTGCTCTAATTCAGCAACATTAATTTTAAACGATAGAATCTGAAAACTAATGAAAATCCCAATCTTTACTTTGCGCGGAGCCAACACTCCAACATCAACTCGCTCCACTATGCTCATATCATCTGTGTCTGCAAGCTGATCCTGAATTTCTTTTTCCAAAACAAACAAATTTTTAGTTTCACGTTTGGTACCCAGTCCACTGTCAAGAGGAGCGTAACTACGAAACAAAACTGGTTTTCCATCGTCGTCACTATCTTCGTCTGTTTGTCTTTCCATACCTGTAACAATTGGTGTTGAAGCAGAAGAATTAAAGGAATGAGTTTGCACGTGTTTTCAAAGGAGAAGAATTGTTTCATAAAACTTTCAGCACCTTCGACCTTTGCTTTCATTTCTTGCAACCGCCTCTTTCTACTTTCAGCAGCAACTTCTAGAGAAGTCGTTGAAGTCGCAAAATCAACATCGTCTTCATCACCTACGAGTTCGGTTTCGGTAGTCATTGCAACCTAAGCGAAAAGCAGAATTTTGGTTAAAAAGCTTTACCTCATAAAGTGTATAGCTCCCGCAAAACGTAAAACATAAAAAACAAGTAAATCCTTCACGATCATTTTACCATTATGTCAAATAACTTCATGACAAATTCATTTAATAACAAAATTACAGACACATGATAATGAACAAGCAAAAAATCACCAGACAACAAAACATCTAAGTATAATCAAGCTAGATCAAAAGTTAAACTCCACAAGCTGTAAACAAAAATCGCCAGAAC